GGTGGAAACTAGTGCAGCTCCCACTAGTGGATGGCTGCAGCAGGCAGATGTGTGTCCCCCACAGTCTAGAGGCTGCGAACCCTAATCCAGAGGGTCAGCCCAGAGCCAGGCTCTCTGTGTGTTGGCCTTATGGAAGGACCTTGTCTCGGGTCAGCATCTGTGGGCTCCGTGTTTCCTGGAGAACTCCATGTGTGCTGGCATCTGTCTTCGTCTGGGTCTACGAGGTTCTCAGTGTAGGGAGCCCAGTCCCAGATGCTGTTCTTCTTGGAGGTAGTCAGGGCTGTCTCTGATCACTCCTTGTACGTCTTATGGCCCAGGGAAAGTTCCCTTGCCTGAGATCTGGAGATCTTCATCACGCAGATCGGAAGAATCAGTCAGAACACATCGTGGAGAATGATGACACCACCCCAAGGGAACACATGTTTTGGGGGCACAGTACACTCATGACAGCAGAGTCCACCTGGAAAGGACTCTCTTTTTCTTGGGTTCCTTTCACTTGTCACCGGGAGCTCAGGCAGCCAAGGGTCAGCGTGTTCTAGGAGCACCTGTCCCGATACCTGCGCCATGGCTGCTGATTGATATTTTGTGTTTGCTGTTACATCAGCCTTGGTGTGATGCTGTAGAGTAAGCGGGGGACTGCTAGCCACAGGATCAATGGTTCAACCTCATCAGCCGCTCCTTGGAAACCCTATACTGGGTCAGTATGAGTCAGAAGGGACTCCACAGCTCTTAATAACAGTAACATTATATTACTGAAACCCAGGTGTGGCACTGTAAGATTAGCATTAGACACCTAACGACAAGGTCGGTGGTTCAAACCCACCTGCGGCTGCTAGGAAACCCTAGACACAGTCGCTATGGGTTGTAACAAGAACAATTATATTATTGAGAATTAGTGTATCTTCACCATCCAATTTCATCATCAATTCTGAATCATAGCGGCCCTGTATAGGATTTCCGAGGCTGTAAACCTTTAAGAGTCCTGGTGTGGCGCTATGGGTTAATGCGCCAGAATGCAAAGCCGTTTGAACTGCAAGATCAGTGGTTCAAGTTCACCAGCTGCTCCTAGGACACCCTATACAAGGTTGCTATGGGTCAGAACTGACTCGGTAGCACTTCACAATAACAACAAACTTTTAAGAAACCCTGGTGTGCCACTGCGGGTTAATGTGCTGGACTGCAAAGTTGGTTTGGAATACAAGGTTGGCGGTTCAAGCTCACCAGTAGCTCCTAGAAAACCCTATACAGGTCGCTATGAGTCATAACCAACTCGATGACACTTAACGACAGTGACAAATCTTCACAGGAGCAGAAAGCCTCATCTTTCACCCACGGAGCAATTGGTAGATTCGAAATGTTGACCTTTGGTTTAGCAGCCCAGTTTGTAATCCACTACACTACCAGGACTCCTTGCATGATGGTAGCTGTTGGTGTTGTTGTTGTTAAGTGCCGTGGAGTCGGTTCCGACTCATAGCGACCTTGTACAGGGTTTCCAAGGCTGTAAATCTTTATGGGAGCAGAAAGCCTCATCTTTCTCCCTCAGAACCGCTGGTAGTTTCGAACTGCTGACCTTGTGGTTCACAGCCCGATTCGTAACCACTACGCTACCAGAGGTAAGTTAAAAAAGAAAAAAGCCTTTGAATTTTGACACTGCACTTGGTTTCTGTATGGAGCAATGAATAGTACCAAAGTCCTTTTTGAGAACAGACATGTGAGTCATCGAATACTTATTGGTGTGATTCCAGACATGAGGGTGTGTCTGTAAATGCTGCTTTCAACTTTCAGCTGCTCTTGTCAGCAAATCTGGTGGGTTTTCTTCTTAAAATGCATGTTGTGTTACAGCTAAGGCATTCAGTAACAGGTGTTAAGTTCTGTGTGTTGATCAAACTCTGGGTTCAGCATGACGGTAGAGAATCGGTTGTCCCCTCAGAACTGTTATCTAGTGTTTGATCATATACCTTCTGTCCAGTTCTGTTTTAATTGTATGTTCTAGAAAATTCCATGGTTTCAGCAAATGGAACTTATTCTTATTTGAGCCTTCTACTGCATCTTACAACAGGAACCCTGGTAGAATAGTGGATTATAAACTGAACTGGTAACTGAAATGTCAATAGTCCAAACCATTCAAATCTACCAGTCACTAAGTATTCCAGATTGTTTCATTGTGCCCATGCGGAGGAACCTGTATATAGACCAAGAGGCAATTGTTCAAACAAAACAAGGGAACACCAAATAATTTAAAATTAGGAAAACTAGAAGCCGGGGTTGTATTCCTTCACCATACTTATTCAGTCTGTATGCTGAGCACATAATCTGAGAAGCTGGGTTCTATGAAGAAAAACATGGCGTCAGGATTGGAGAAGACTCATTAACATCCTGCGATATGCAGATGATACAACCTTGCTGCTGAAAGTGAAGAGACCTTAAAATACTTACTTGATAAAGATCAAAGACCATAGCCTACAGTATGGATTGCACCTCAATGTAAAGAAAACAAAAATCCTCACCACTAGACCAAAACATAACATCGATATAAATGGAGAACAGATTGAAGTTGTCAAAAGACTTTGTTTTGCTCAGATCAACCATCATCACTCCAGAAAGCAGCAGACAAGAAATCAAACGATGTATTGCATTAGGCAAATCTGCTGCACAAGACCTTTTTAAAGTGTTCAAGAACAAAGATGCCAGCTTGAGGACTAAGGTGCACCTGACCCAAGCCATGGTATTTTCAAGAACCTCATATGCATGTGAAAGCTGGACAGTGTCTATGGAAGACAGTAGAATAATTGATGCCTTTGAGTTATAGTGTTGGAGGAGACTGTTGAAAGTACCACGGGCTGCGAAAAGAACCAATAGATCAGTTTTGGAAGAAGTGCAGCCAGAGTGCTCTTTGGAGGCCAGGATGGCCAAACTTCGTCTTTCATACTTCGAACATATTGTCAGGAGGGACCAGCCCCGGGAAAAAGATACTGTATTTGGTAAAGTGAGGGGTCGGTGAAAAAGAGGAAGACCCCCCAACGAGATGGATTGGTACAGTGGCAGCATCAGTGGGCTCCAGTGTAGCAACGATTGTGAGGTTGGCGCAGAACAGAGCGGTGTTTCATTCTGCTGTGCAGAGGGTCGCTATGAGTAGGTGCTGACTTGATGGCACCTAACAACAACAACCAGTCATTCCAAGGAAGAAACAAAACGAGGCTTTCTGTTCCCATAAAGATATACAGGATTACTAAGTGTCAGTCCCAGCTGGGTGGCCCACACCCACCACCACCACCGTCTCCTTTCTCAAACAGGAGAAACTGGGTCATCTTGGTCCTCACAGCACTTTGCATTCTAGTCTTCATCTCCTGCTACAAGTGCTTCCAA